GAACCCTCGGCGGGAGCGCCACCGTGCTCCCAAGCAGCGCACTGTAGCAGTGCGCCACCGGGCCGGCCCCTAGGTTATTTATAAAGGAAAGAGTTTTATTTGGCTCAGGATTCTGGGACAGTTGCCTCTGGCACGGGCCTCAGGCTGCTTCTACTCATGGTGGAAAGTGGCAGCAGCCGGTGGGTACAAGCAGATCACATGGTGAGAGGAAGCAAGTGAGAGGAAGCAAGAGAGAGAGAAGGAGCCAGGGTCTTTTTAAGCAGCGAGCTCTCGTGGGAACTAATAGAGCGAGAACTCACTCATTAATCCCCCCTCCCCCAGGGAGAGCATTAATCCACTCATGACGGATCCGCCCCCATGACTCAATCAGTTTCCAACACTTCCACACTCGGGATCAAATTTCCACATGAGTTTTGGAGGGGACAACACATCCAAACTCCATCAGATCCTTACTAATTTAAAAGTGCTTTGGGATTTCTGGGCCTACATGTGAAATGACACACATGCATAAACCTTCCCTCGAACTTCAAATACACAAAGATGATAGCTGTAATATTTTGAATTTTTTTTAATGCATAGCTTACTTTAAAGCAAGAAAGTAAATTCTCTGTGATCTAGAAATACAGAAGGAACCCACAGTGGGATGGGAATGAAGGGGTGGGGTACTAATATAGTATAACCTGAGGACTGGTCAGGACTGGGCCTCAACAAACCCAGCTCAAGGGCTACAGGCCAGGAAATAGATTCAAGCAGTTAGTCAGTGGCCAGAACTGCACTGTCTACACTTGAATGATACTTGCATACCTCCCATGATAATGTCTAGAAACAAGAAGCATGCTGTATTCATTTTCTATTGCTGTGTAACACATTATTTCAAACTTAGTGTCTTAAAACCATACTCACTCATTGTCTCACAGTCTCCATTGGTCAGTAGTCTGGCATGGCCTACTAGGGTCCTCTGCTCAAGGTCTCACAAGGCTGCAATCAAGGCATGGTTCAGGGATACAATTCTTACCTGGGTCCCAGGGTCATCTTCCATGTTCATTCATGTTTTTGGCAGAATTCAGTTTTCTGCAGCTGTATGACTGAAATCTCAGGTTACTGGCTAACTGTTGGCCAGGATCAGTTTTTAGTTCCTAGAGGCTGCTTTTTCTCCATAAACAGTTCACAACGTGGTTTTTTGCTTTATTCCTCTGAAACTAGCAAGAGAATGTCTCTGATGCTTCACCCTCTTTTAAGGGCTTTCTTGGTTAGGTTGGGCCCTCTTAGGATAGTCTCTCATTTGATTAACTCCAAGTCAACTGATTAGTAACCTAACCATAGACATGACATCCCTTCATATTCACAAGGCTCACCCACACTCCAGGGTAGCACATGATACAGGGCATGTACACCAGGAGGTAGTAATCTTGGAGGCCATTTTAGTATTCTGTTTACCACATCTGTCTATAGGCAGGAACCAAAGCAGACTCCCCCAAGTGAGACAGGGTCCCAGGGCTACATTCTTCATTTTAAATATTTCGTAGTTTCCATTTTTTCTTTCTTTTTTCTTTTTTAGCCCATGAATTATTTTATTTATTTTATATTCATGAAGGTTTTGTTGTTGTTGTTTTCTGTTTTACTTTCAAAAGCAAGGAAGATGTCTATCCCTTTGGAATTGACTTCCAATTCTCTTGAATAATGATTAGAGATTTCCATTTTGACTAAAATTATAACACTATATATTCTTTTAGTTAGAATTTACCTACATAATATGTACTACATAATATTCTAGACCTTTATTTTCAGTATTTCTGAAACAGTTTGTTTTAAGTATGTACCTGATGTCTAGCATATAGCAACAGACAATTGTTGATGGGGGGCAGAGTAACAAGCAGAGCTTTTGGTGGCAATTTTAAGGTCCTTAAATACATGGCCAGTTTTCCCATCAGAACATTTGCCAAATTCTGAGGTTGCTCAGGGTGGGAGAGGGAAAACAGACTATGCAGAAAAGCTTTGAAAAAGTAGAACAGGATTTCCTGTCTCCTGAGACAAAAATTTGAGTTTAGTACCTTCCAAGGTGAGGATTCCCTGAAGAATATTCCAGGCACTCATATAAAAATCCCAGTGGACCACGGTGAACCAGTTATAGACTAAGCCTTTCCAGGACCCTAACACAGCCTTGACTTAGCACAGCCTCTGATTCAGTTAAGATTATCAGCCACCACTCTAAATTCCCAGCAAATGAATAGGTGCATGTCCTCTAGAAAAAAATAATTTTGAGCCTCTACAATTTTTATACATGCCTGTCATTCAATAAAAATAACTAGAAACAACAAAATACAGGACTATATGATGAAAGAATAAGAGTAAAAAAAGAATAGAAATAAATCAGCAAGTGAAAAAAGACAATAGAAATAAATCAGCAAGTGATCCAAATAGTAAAGTTAGCTAAAAAGAATTTGTATATAACTATAATTGATATAAGCTCAAGAATATAGAGGATAATACAGAGAAAACAAATGTAAAGGTAGAGACTTTCACCAAAGAATTAGAACATATTTTTAAAAGAACAAATGAAATTCTATAACTGAAAAATGAAATATCTGAATTTAAGAATTTCTTATGTGGATTTAACAGTAGGTGAGATATAGCATAAGAGATGCATAGTGATCTGGAAGATAGGCATATAGGAAATATCTAAACTGATGCAAAGAGAGAAAA